CCTTTTAAACAGTTTTCTCCCTCATCTGTTTCAATGCAGTATATTTATCCCATCTTTCTCTGTCTTTCCCCAACGCCAATGTCAGTCCTGTTTTACAGCAGTGGCACCATGCAGTATTTGTCCTTTTGTGACTGAGATACTTCACTCAGCATAATGTCCTCTAGCATTACCCATTTTGAATAATATTTTATGAGTTCCTTGTTTTTCAATGCAGCGTAGTATTCCATTGTGTGAATATACCACAGCTTCTCCATCCATTTGTTTGTTGATGGGCACTTAGGTCACATCTTTCTCTTGTGGAGCAACTCAGGGTTCAGAAAGTTAGCGGTCAAGCGCATAACCATTGTGCCACCAGGAGTCCTTTTACAGATGGTAATTGGAGGCTCAGAGAGGTTGGGTAACTAGCCTGGCATCGCCCAGCTAGTAAGTGGTGGGCTAGTAAATACTGGCTGACTGATGCTCTTGGCTTCATGTGTCCTGGGGCCCCACAGGCCTGGGCTTGGGCACTGGGATGCTTCATGGGGGAACAGAGGCCCTGGCTGGGCACAGCCTGCTGACCAGCGCCCTGTGTCCCCAGCGCCCTATACCATCATCACCTTCCCCTTCCTCTTCGCTGTCATGTTTGGCGACGTGGGTCACGGGCTCCTTATGTTCCTCTTCGCACTGGCCATGGTGCTCACTGAGGACCGTCCGTCCGTCAAGGCCGCTCAGAACGAGGTGAGGCCCCCCCGCGCGCGGTGGGGGGGCGGTCGGGTCTGACAGCCCCTCACGGAGCGCCTCCTCCCCCAGATCTGGAAGACCTTCTTTGGGGGGCGTTACTTGCTGCTCCTCATGGGCCTTTTCTCCATCTACACCGGTTTCATCTACAACGAGTGCTTCAGCCGTGCCACCACCATCTTCCCCTCAGGCTGGAGTGTGGCTGCCATGGCCAACCGGTCAGGCTGGAGGTGAGGCTGGAGGTGACGGGGCATCAGGCCGCAGCTCGTGCTGCCCCCCGCCTCTTTTGTTAAGCTTCACCCCATAATGCAAGGCCCTGCTCCTTCATTTAAGCCCAACCCCCAGGACGCTACTTCACCTTTGCATCAAGCCCCGCCCACAGTGCGTGGCCCCGCCTCCTTGCAGTACCTTGCCCTCTGGCCCACTGTCACCCTCCTCTGAGTTAAATCTTCCCCCACAGTGCAGGATCCCCCCTCTTTGTAGTAAGCCCTACCCCCAATGCCTGGCCTCACCTCTTCACATTAAGCCCACCTCACAGCTCACAGCCCCGCCCTTCACGTTGGGCCCTGCCCCATGACCCTGGCCCCACACTTGTGCATGAAGCCCCACTTCCTGTGGTGCACGACCCCACCTCTGCATTAAGCCCCAGTCTAGTGATGGGCCCTGCAACACCACCCCGGAGCCGCTGGGCCCTGCTCTTAGCTCTGGCCTGTTCTGTGCTCCAGCCCCACTCTACCTTTTGCCCTGTACCCTTCTTCTTGAGCTCATCTCACCCCCTCATCACACACACACACACACACACACACTTAGCCCAGTTCAGGGTCACTGTGTTCCTTGGCCCCTGCACCCTCCGACCTGCGCCCCGCATGCTGGATCTGCCCAGCC